GTAGCTGTTCTACAGGGTGCAGCACCTTTGAGAGAATGGGCGGTTGGGGTCGTATTTGCTCGCTTGGTGGAGGGGAAGGGTCGTTGAAACCAGGGCGAGTCGGCATTGGAGAAAGAGAAGATGCGCCCTGAAAGGATTTCAAAATTCCCGAATAATCTCGGTACAACGACACTTAAGGAATCGAGTTTTTGAGTGGTTCAGAGGTTCGCTTGTCAAAAACTGATCCGAAATATTTCTTGAAGCTAACCGGCCTTCAGAGAAACGCTTCATTTCTTCTTTAGAGTGAGGATTTTCTCAAAAATTTTGGGTTGTGCAAAACTGGCGCACTGAAGAAGTTGTGATCTTCAAAGCATGAAAAGTCTCATGTGTTTTCCAATTATGTGTCCTCCTCCGGCGCAGCGAACGCCTTGTTTCCTAGTCAATCGGTGTTGAAATAGCTATAGACGACAAAAATACTTGAGTGTCGCGTGGCCTATCTTGAAAACCTGGCTCAAGCAGTAAAATAGATGAACTTTCAATTTTTCGAATGGGAAAGCAACATTTCGCTGCTCAGCAACAGGTGGTGATATACACTATGTCACATGCGAAAGGAGTAGAGGATCTCTTATGCGCTGTTGTTCACATTTATTCATTTCTTAGCGTGTTTAGTGAAGCCGGAACTGATCAGTGGTAGCGAAGAGCGCGCTGTAATGGGGAACATATATTAAAATCATTAACTTCTGGTGAATTGCGCAGTGCGTCATGCAAATGCGAATGCGTCACGAGGCCGAATGGCTGAGAACGGTTCGTCGAAGGTAATAAGATTTTCCGATCAGAGATCAGTTCTGGGTTCTGGAAGTCATGAAACAATGTATATCGGCATTGATCGAATACTGAGGACAGGGCACATATCATTCGTTTGTTTATTACCTGACAGAGCGAGTACATTGTCAGATGAAAATGAAGTATTGTAAAAAAAACCGTAACACAGACAAACACAATTGAACGAGCCTAGATATGCGTAAAGCGCCCAAAGTCGTAATCGTCATTGTCATTGTGGAAATCGCAGCAGGGTCGTGTCTGCTCTTTAGCGAGCAGTGTACATATTTCGTCTCGAAAGAAATTCTTACAAATGTGAATCAGGCTTTGCTTTTTGCAGTTTGCAAGCTATGGCCCTATCCACGCTCGACGTCAAAGTCAGTAGAGAGAGGGGGTGGTGTAAAAAGTAAATTTAGGGTACGGGTCGTGTCTTGCAAGAATTCCCTGCAACTCGTTAAAGATCCTAGACTGGGAGACCATCGATAACTCATTGGGATAGCGCAAAATAAAGTGATGATAATGAAAGATAACGATCCATCATTTCGAAAACATGACACCAAAAGAAATGAACGCACTGCAGCCTCATGGTGGGTAATCACTCGTTGTTCCTATGGCATTTACTCGAAGATGAGAAATGCTCATTTGTTGGGAAAGATACCGGTAAACCGTCCCAGTGAAACAGCAACAACTGAACACGTAATTTTCCCTTCGCTAGCGGGAAGTTCATGACTCTCCATGTTTTTTGAGAGAATGTCTTTTTTTATCTTCCCTCGGTATGAATCGGTCAGATAGAAAACCTACACTTGAATGATTCTATTATTTTTCGCCACCTGCTGTTGTATTTATCGCCGCCACGCTTCAACGAGATAAATTTGTTTCGTGTGATTCTCGCACGGTAAACGACCCAGATCCAATCAATTAAAGGGCTTTTTTGTTGTGGAAGTGTGGGCGAAACGCTTGCCCTAGTCAGTACTCGAAAGTGGACTGAGCTGTTGAATCTAATAACTTCAGGATCGCTAATTGCAGCATTAAACAGCAGCTATCATAAGTTAGGGCACATCCTGGTGAACACTTCAGCGATATGATATTTCTCCCCCTCTCCCCCGCCCCAACCATCGGCCCCAACGTCCGTCGAGCATCGAGTCTTATTCTCCGACACACTGTTAGAAATAGATATTGCAGCGGTGTCGACAAGGAGAGGGGGATGGGTGTTTTGCCGTGAAAAGCACACCACCCGTCCTCCAGGGGCCATATCCGATCTTCTCCCCTGCTTTGAGGAGTTCATACCCTACGATGTGCTGCCTTTACGACAAAGCAGTGGATCTATGGTATTTAGAATTCCGGTGGAACGGTTTTGTAAAGCGAAACGGTCAAAGAGGAAATAAGATTATTAATTAAGATGCGCCAAGCGAATTTTAGAAACAAAGCAAGTGAGGATCACAAATGAAGTATCGGAAGTTCAAAGAGAAAAAAAGCAAAAGTAGGGTAGGAGCATGGCGTACCTCTTGAGTGAAAGTGAGATGCTAAAGCGGCGGCAATACCTTCCGACTTGTCCCCGGCTGATATTCGCTTAGAATAAGCGTCTATCTGAAAACTGTGGTTGTAATTTGCCCCACCAATCTTCGCCACATCATGACTGATATTTATTGCATCAAAAAGAACTCACCATTGCCTTTGTCTCTGGGTTGAGATTTATAGCACTTTTTTTGTACGGATTTAAATTGCACAATGTGATAGAAGGGAATGGTGCGTTTTCAAATTTCAACTGAAATTCATGGGATACATATATGCCATTAAGAAAAAGGTGTATTTGATAGCGAAGTATTGCGAGCTAATAAATAAGTATCTTTAAAACACCTCGACACCAAAGTTTCCTTTTCCAAAGGTTTGCTCTATGAGCTTGAGATGAAAAATATGGAAATTTCAAATTTTTCTTAGATTTCATTTTAATTACCGCATTCAAGAAGAAGATCCGAACTCAATAATGACGGCATCTGTTAGGAAAAAAGCTGGATCCTAAAATTTTGTAGTAGTCTGTGTAAACCCTTCAGTGATCACTGAGGCACTCTTTTGATTCTCTTGCAGGTCTAAGTATTATAAGTTGCTTTGGACCTTTCTATTATAAATCGCTGGGATGTTATCATAAGAGAGATAGTTTTTTTTCTACAGTGGAATTGTTTAGTTGATCAATTTGGATGTTTCAATGAGGGACAATGTTCAGAAGTAGTGCTATGTTCAGCTGTGTCGTGAGAGTCTATCCGAATTTCATCGAACTGTTGGTGAAGGGAGAGGGGAAAGGGGGGGGGTGGAAGGGAGAAGCAAAAACGGGGACGGAAATTGACCAACCTCACGATTTGTCATTCTTTCTGACAGGCAAGGAATAATGTCTATGAGTTGGAATGGAAAAGAAATTTGTTATGGCGAAGGTAAGGGAGCAAAAACAAAGAAATAAGGTTTGCCGCGGAAAGGAGAGAATAAATATTGTGGAACCTGAGAGAATCGGAGAACGGAAAATAGGAAAATATAGGAAGTCCCGAAAAATCGGATACGTATAGAATGACTGCACGAAAGGAGGAATGGAGAATTAGGAAGGAAATTTCATGTACCGATCTAGAGAACCCACGATCCGTTTAATAGGAGAATCCGTGCAAATAGTCAAATGGGTGTTGATTGACTCTACCCAAGTGAGGATAAGAGATCAATCGATACCTTTCAATATTTTAATAGGTTCTTCGATGTACTGCGAAGTTCCGTGATTTTCCCAATCTTTTTCGACTCTCCAGTGATGTACGGAAGAAACGCGACCTAGGATGGCTCAAAGGCAGCCACGCTATTGCATACGCATATGTTGGTGGTGGCGCTCCATGGTGACTTTATGGCTCCACTGGGAAGAAGAAAGCAAAAAAGTCATAAAGAACATCCTATCATGGGAACACCCGTGGCAGCGTTACTGTTCGAGTTGCCCGGACCTAGCAAAGCGATATCCTGCCGCTTCCAGCTCCTTAATCGTTACTCCTACCTGACAGTGAAAAGAAGACGAAAAACTTGGCTCAAAAGCTGAACTTATGACAGAGAATAACGTGTGAGCTTTAATGGGTGGAGCAACTTGAGAGGCGTTAGAACTGGTACTTTTGAAGGCCACAGGGCGCATTCATTACTTAATGTGGGGCCGCGAAAGTAGGACATTCTTGAAGAGTGAGGGCGAGACTGCTTAAGGAAACCTATGAACTGCTTGGGCATGGAGTCTTCAAAGCTTTAGTTGGAGCAGTTAATCTGGGGGGGGGGGCTTTTGCATTTTGGCCGCTTCCCATTGTCGTATTCATTGCTTTACAAAAACCGGTAAGTAGCTGCGAACTTTGACTGTTACCAGTTCATAGCTTTACAAGATTTCACAAATCTAATAGATTGTTCGACAACGCAGTGCGAAGCAGCGAAAGTACAAAAATGTCTTCCCCACCAGGCTGAACTGTTCCTTTCCCTTGATTGTTTTGTTTTCGGAAGCGAGTTAATTCACTTTGATTGTGGATTGAACGCCACGCGAAAGTTGGATTTCAGTTCAAAAGGTGCTAGTTAATGTCATGAGGAAATTACTAGGCATTATGAACATTCTTGATCGCGGTCCGAAGCAAATGTTTCGCAGTATATCACGCGTTATAATGGTCCTAAAATCAATTACCCCATTTTTTCTCAAGTGCCATATGAATGACACACACTAGTGTTTGGTTTCTTTCAGTGAAAAGCAACGTTCCATCGCTTGCTGTTTAAAGTTTGACGTGCTCAGTGAAAATCGATAAGCCAATTGAAATGGGAAGCTGTTTGAAAATTGTTCATAAGTATCACATTGCTCGAAAAATGATCATTTTTCTAATTTTTCATGGTAGATGTAGAGATGAACCAGAAAACATTGGGAGAAATAAGAAAACGGGTAGTGATACAAAGGGTGAAATTGAAAAAGTAAAAGAAAACAAAGCAACTTACATCGAGATCAACAGTCTTTGCATATTGTAGATATTTTACAACAAGAAAGAATATTTGGACAGCCAAACAGAAGAAGCACAGCCAAAATGCTGTATACCAAAAACATCGCCATCTATTATTAGGTGCAAGTGCAGCATGGCTTATCCCGTGAAATGTACTCTGACGTTCGAATCGATGCCGGATCTCTTTGTAGTTTAGATGGCCTGATACCCGTATTTTATTGAGGCCTGAAAAAATAGATTTTGATCTACGCAGAATCTATTCGCTCTAGGGAAACAGCTGATCATCGGGAACCTTTAGTGGGGAGGGGTCATATTCGAAGGAGAGACGAGAGCCGTACTTGACGTAAGATTTTTTTATGCTCGATTTTTCCTGCTCCACGGGCACCATCTAGATCTTCAGGAGAATTTCAATGGGGGAGGGGATCACATTGCCTCTGAAGAAATTTCTCAAGTCGCAAAAAGTTTTTTAGTTGGTGACTCTTTCGCGGTTTTTATTTTCCGTTTCTATGCATTATATACCCCTCCTTCTCTAAACATCCTTCTGGGGGGGGAGGGGGGAGCTGAATTATCGTGCATCCACTATTTTCGATAGTTGCTGCCCCTTCGACAGCAGTTTTTTGGGCAAAAATTGGAAAATTTCCGGGAGAAGTGGGGAAAAGTTATAATGACAGTAAGATGGTGGGTGAGGTAAGGAAAGAGGTTGTTTTTCCAAACATTCCTCCTGGGGCAAGAGAGGCCCTGCATATCACCCTTAGTAGAACTTGCCAGTGTTTCTACGAAATGTTCGACGATATTTTAGATATGTTGTTTTGTTCATGTTAGCAGTAGAAGTTGGAACATTGGCGATCGGGTACACATTGTAGAACTGAGAACAGCTACTAATGCCAGTGAGCATGCGATCAACATGCTTGCGAGGTAAACAAGGTGTTAATAATGATTTAAGGCTGCGCTAAGCAATAGGGCCGCTAGGAGAATGATTTAATGTACTTAATATCATACGTCCTGCAAGTATAACTGCTGATCGTTAACTATCACAATCAAGGCACAACAGGAAAAATCTCGGGAAAATTTTCTGCGAATACGCCTTTTTTCCCCTCTCGGTGCGAACCCGCGATCACGGCCTACCTTCCCTCCAGGGGACGCCGTTGGAGAAAAATACTGCGAAATACCAAAATACGAGCCCTTCCCCGTCCCCCATCCTACTTACAATCTTTCTTGAAGGCAGGAAGCACGATAATTTGTTACTTGCTTAAAAAGCTAAACTGCCGAAAACCTGCGAAAAGACGCATCTGCACGTATGTATTCATATCCGTGTACCAACGCTTCTTAATTATACTTCATAAATGGATCGATACTACCTTCAATGTGATTGTGCGACCTTTTGTGGGCGGGCGGTTGCGTTGGGCGTTTGGGTCGGCACGTTGCACCTTGATAAGGCGTTATAAGGGTGCCATGGTTTGGGAAAAGCGCCCCGCAGTGCCTGGTGAGGGTCGCCGAATTTTGTCCTGCTAGGTGTATCAATCGCACATGTTTTTGAGATCTATCACGCCATTGGTCTTTACCACTTTTCCGAAGAAATATTCGAGTTTTTCATCATCTCTCTCTAGCAGGGTCTCAAAGGCAAATACGACACCCTTCCTCCCACAAATGACCGTTTTCGTCGGGGATTTCCTACGAACGTCGTGTCCTGTTTAGCCGTCGAACGTTATCTCAAGGAGTGTGCTCGAAAGAGCGAGAGGATATGGTATACAGCTGGCGTTAAATGAGAAAAAGGGAACTAGAATAGGATCAGAATCATTCAGAAAAAAGTTCCTCTTGATGAAACTTGACCCCTTCTGACGGCCAAGTGTGAACAACGTTGTGTTTTACACAATATATTATACGCTCCGATCAGAATAAAGTTAGGACGCAGTTCGGCTTGGTGGGGACACCGAATGTTGCTCAGCTAAGTTTATATAGACCACCCCGTAAAGACCTGTAAAGTCCTGCGACCAAAGTGGCGCCACTTGCATAAATTCACAACTTCAAGATAAACCAACAAAAAGAACTAGCACAAGCGCAAAATGCCTCCTTCAAGCCGAAAAACGTCCAAACTTAGTATAGTAATGCATCAAAAAGCTGACATGGCAGTATTAACGTACCTATTGGTGGTTTGAGGGACATTCTTCGTCGCACATTCTGCCACTTTTTGTGATGATCACCAAGTGATGGCCGATGTCCTATGAGATCTGTATTCGTGAATCTGATACTTTTGCTTTCCTCGGATGGCTGTCGAGTGCCAGCAAAAGAAGATTTGTGAGTGTCGATACTAGACTGCTCTTGGGATAAGTTTCGAGCCGAAGGTGGGTGGGACTCCTCCTTGCAATCCATCGCTTATAAAAACTACAGAGAAGAATAGGTTGAGAGTGCAGGCGGGAGTCAACTGTGTCAGTACGTTGACAACATCGAGGCACACGTAGCGACCGATTAGACGGAGCTATGTGCTCATATACCAAAATTCTGTGCGAAGTCGTGAATATAGGCAAATCGTGCTAACGTCGACCTATGTGGCCATGAAGACTATCTGAAATACCGGTTACCATATGATGGCAGTGGAACCTGAATCTTGAAAACCTTGAAAATAAAAAATATCGACTAAAATATTGATTGGAGGAAGACGTGCAACGATGAGGGCAAGCTACAAATCAGTTGCGATCTCAGGCAGCTAGCGGAGGAGAGGCGCCTGCTGTCGACGGACTATGACAAGCATATAAACAGAAAGGTCTAAGAAAAAGACATTTGGCCAGGTGTTACTGAATTCTTCATGGACCAACCTTTGAACGGCAATGAGGTGGCATTCGGCCCGAAATTTTCGGGCCGACTAATTCTGATTTACAACTGTTCATCTACGATGAGAGCCCTTCTCACTTGCTTTTATTACACTCTGTTACAAAACACCCTGAGATGTTACCTATCTCGTCTGGATGCGTAAAAACGTGCCTCTCGGTTGAAATACCTGATGTATTGTGGCCTTTGCTTGGGTCTGATGATTTCTATAGCTCGTTTCTGTGAAAAAGCTGCATTTATACGTCTAGACGTGCTTGAGCGGTGTTTCTGAAGGACTGTCCTTTTTCACTCGCCCTCATTGTTTGTGGTCTCAAAGGCATAGGGCACTATAATTTGGTCTTTGTTCAATTGTCCAAAAATACTATCGGGGGCTCTAAATAGTAGGAAAGTGACGAAAACGTGAAGGCCAACTGCCAAAAATTTGCGAAAAAAACTGTTTTGCACGGCACTGGGCGAGTTTTCTGGACGAGTTTTCCGTCATCGTGCCAAGTATCGCTTTGAAGATAATGCTGCACGTATGTATTCATGTACCATATAATGAAAGGATAAGGCCAGTAAATGTGCGGCCATTGGGCGTTCGGGACGGTATATTGCACCTTGGTAGGACGCTACAATGGTCTCTTCGGTTGTGAAAGCCGCCACGCAGCGCCTGTTAAGGGGCACAATATTCTTATGTGCTATGTGTTTGATCCTTAATGCCTTTACGATTTATCGCGCTACTTGCCTTTAAAAGGAACTTTTGCAGAGCGCCCTGACGCCTGGTGGCAAGAACGACCTGCTCACGGATATCGAGACGTCATCTAGAACGACGTCACCTCAAAATGCCCTCTTCGCCACCCTCTATGTGGGTGAATCGCCATTCGGCCTGTACGCCATGGACGTGTTGGTCGACAAGCATACCATCACATATGCGCCAAAATATCTGGGCCCACCGCTTTTAGAAGGACCAAGTCCAATTGCTCTATCGGTAGGTCAGACCTATATTACATCGAGCTGAACCCTCTTTTGATAAACTCTGCCATTTAGGATGAGGAAAAAGCGAAGTTTGTTCCTCCAGCGAGGCCCATAATTTCTATTGATGTGGCAGCAATCACCCACAAGACAACCGACGGAGAATTTCTCCTGCTGGGTACATATTTTATTATAGTTTATGATTATGTAGTTGTAATTAAAAACATCTGGTTTTCAATGGTGCACTGCGAGTTTGCTTTCAGTTAAATTAACGACCTAATAATGGTTTCGCTAGTTGTTTGCGTAGTAAAACGACGCTGAAGAAACAGAAGGCGCGCTAGAATTGTCGTCCTTTTCCCTCGAATACGAACAGCGATAAAGTCAGAGATAAATTGTCTGTTCTAAAAATATTTTGGTTTCTCAAGGATACCATGAAAGGCCGATGGTGGATCTGGGAGCGATTTTACCGATACGATTTACGAACACTCCACAGTTTCCTCATATTGTCTACAAACCAGATAATTCTGATTTAAAACTGGTAATTTTTAGCTTTCAAATAATTTCTTCCTGTTTTTAATGCTTTGTTATGTTTTGCTAGATTACGTCATCACGAATGGAAACGTTGGAGAATAGTCTAGTGGGGATGCTGTTGGAGATTTACATTCATCATCCAGTTGCATTCTTTTCGGTTCTTTTCACCCTTCTCGCATTGGCTGTCACTGTGGTTTGGATGTGCGGCAAGCAGGTAAGCGTATTGGATCAATTCCGATCTTCTGGTCCCGACTACCGGAAGGAACCTTCTCTTCCGGTATGCGGACCTGAGAAAAATATTCTCGAAAGAAATCGGGCCACATTTAGCGAAACGAGTAGCTTAAAGGCACGCCCCGCATTAATTTGATGATCTGACGCCTTCATCGGACATGGTATTCCTGAACGCAAGCGTGGAGGATGTACTACTTTTGGAGCTCAAAAATATGTGATCCCATCGCGACAGGGCCACGGTTCCGCCCTTTGATTGACGCCCAACTTTCCTTACTTAAGCTTTCTGGTAGTGCGGTTGTTCCGATACTTCCGAATGGTGAGAGTGAGGTGACAAGGAGGAGCTGACACCAGGGCACGCCATCCCGTTGTGATAATTTCCTGAAAAATATGACCCCCCCCCCCTGATTCTACCAAATACGACCCTCATCCCCATGCTACCTACCACTTTCTTTCCCCAACTTCCTACCACTTTATTCTTTCTCCCGAAGAAGCGGAAGGG